CACATCCGAGCAGCCCGGTACCCACAGCCAGGCCAGCTCTCAGCCCATGCCCAGGCCCTCATCGCCTGCCTGCTGGCCCCTGAGCCCGCAGCACGGCCCAGCCTGCAGGACATGATGGACCACAGCTTCTTCACCCAGGTGTGGGGCCGGTGTGGGGCAAGGCCACAATGGGGACAGGACAGACGGTCACTGCCTCTTGCTCCCCAGGGCTTCACACTCCCGCGCCTGCCACTCCGTGCCCGTCTTTGTGGGACAGGCCCTGCTGCGGTGGTTGTGCCAGGAGCACCAGAATCACCTGGGAGCACCACGCTGCCACCCTGGAACACTGCCACCTCCCCACCACGAAGGAACAGGATCTGAGCCAAGCAACCATCCGCTTAGGAAAACCTTTATTAGTGCTAGGAACTGTCTAAAATCCAGTCATGGACACAAGCAGGGTGGGACGTGACCATTACGGACGGCACACACACACACACACCAGTTTGCCCTTAGGAAAGGTTAACAAAAAGAAGTAAATGAAAGAACCAAACCTGAAAGAGACCTCTCTTTCCCAGCAGCCTGGGACAGGACAGGGACAAGGAGCTGAGGAGGGAGAAGGAGCAGCTCCAAGGAGCCTGGTGCCTGGCATTGTTCCTGGGGATCACCCATGCAGAGGGAATGCTTGGAGCAGCACCACATTCCCCTGCTCTGCCTGGCCGCAGGCTCCTGCAACACTTCTCACCGCACCGCAAACAGCAGGGCTTACTGGAAGGAGGAACAGAGTTATTTGTGGCCTAGGAAGGAGAAGGGAAAGTGTGTGGTTTCCCTGTCCAGCTTCAGTTCTCCCTCAAGAGAAGAGAACTGAAAGAAAACACTGAAAGCTTGGTAAAACATGACACTGAAACACCCACAGCTTGGGTGCACCCGGGACCCCTGACAGACACTCGCCTATGCCTAAAACAGAGGGTGGGGACAAAGACAAGATGTTCAACGTGGCCCCAGCAAGCACCAAGGAGGTGCTTTGCTGCTTACAGACCTGTCCACATGTCAGCACAAGAGGGGACTGGTGAGGGAGGGTGTCACCAGGGGGTGTGGGGCAGGGAAGGAGAGGTGACAGCAACGACTTTGTCTGCACTTGGGGCGAGTTTCTTCCTACGCTGTCAGTCGCTGCGGGGAACAAGCCAGAGCTGCTCCAGAGCCCAGACAAGAGGAGAAGCAAAGGAACAGCCTGGCTGGGGAGGGAGATGCAGCATAAGACCCTGGGTGGGATGGTGGGTGCAAGCGCGGCACTCGGCACCCTCCATGCGCAGAGGAGCTGTGGGGACCAATCCCACAGCCCTCATATAGCATCACCCAAGGCTGGAGGTGGGGCAGGACACCAGAGACTGGGATCTGCCCTCCAGGACTGTCACCACATCCCTCTTGCCCACTAGAGCTCACGGCTCCCCTCCGAGGTCCTCAGCTCCCCTCCGCTACCTTCCACCTACTCTGCAAACTCGCTGCTAAAAACCTTTCCCAATCCATGCGTGATTCCTACAGGAGCAAACCCAGAAATCAGGTTTTGACCCTGGGGGCAGCACTCCTGTCCACCAGCTCTGACCCACACTCCTGCATCAGCAGAGCTGCCCTCCTGCCTGCTTGGGCTAGAACAGCACGGCAGAGGGGGGCACACCATGCTATGCAAGCCCACGCTACATGGGCACCAGTTTT